AGAAAGTGATTTTGTACCTTATGTCCTACTGCAGACTGATAAACTTTTAGAACAATTTTCATACTGAAGAGAGATAATTAACTTAACTCTTCACAGTTAAATTCTTTCTTCTACAATACATTTCTGCATATTATTAAAATGGGATATACCCATGTTGTAGGAACATGACAGATTGGGATGTGGCTGTATATTTTATGGACCAAACAGAAATAATCACTACTGATGCGGGAATTATGTTGTAGGGCTTTGTCACTCAAGTTTAAAACGACGCATGCACCACCAGGGGACACACTTGTGCACAGGGGGGATGTTCTGACATCGCTGTACTTCATCGCCCGAGGCTCCATCGAGATCCTCAAGAATGACATTGTTATGGCCATCCTGGGTAAGTGTTTACCCCATTGGCAAACTTTGTGTTGTCTGATCCCCTAGTTTAATGACACTTTCCCAGTCACTTAGACTTTATAATAGTGTGTGTACTCATGCATATAGTCATGCTCTGTTTTAAAATGTCGTGCTAGCATTTGCCTGGAAGGACCAGTATCCAGTTTCATGATGAAACAGTACAGGCCTAAGTCTCTGGCCCAGTGCATAGCTGGGTCTACCATAGTGGTCACATTCCCCATTCCCGTTGTCTTGTCTGTGTTTTACAGGGAAGGATGACATATTTGGGGAGAACCCATGTCTTCATCCGACGCTGGGTAAGTCGTCATGCAATGTGCGTGCTCTCACTTACTGTGACTTACACAAGATCCACCGAGATGACCTCCTGGAAGTTCTAGACCTGTATCCAGAGTTCTACCAGTCCTTCTCCAGTAACCTGGAGATCACCTTCAACATGCGCGATGTGAGTGGACTTTGGAGTGACAGAGCTGCTCCAGTACAGCATAGACACAAATGTTTTCTTTTACACTTTCATTTCAAATACCTTCCATCACTGTTTTATCCCAGCAATGGAAAATAAGTTTCTACGCTAATGTAAGACAAAGCCATTACCATAGGTATATAACAAATTCCTGTTGTTCAGTGCCATTGATTCAAATTCCTGATGTTGCGAATAACTTTGAACCACAACTTACTGTGTTTTTCAGCAATATTCTCCTTAAAGTTATACTTCATTCTTCAGTGTGGCCTTCCTAAGGTATTTCCCACAAAAATCTCCACCTTAAGCAGTGTTGTAGAGTGATGAGTTACAGAATGACATATTGACCCCTTCTTCCATCTCATTTCACTTGTGTTTGTTTGGGCACTGTAGGAGGAACAAGCAGGGGTAGATCCACGGGCCACACGCTACCGCCCAGGGGCCATTGTTTCTCGCTCCAGTTCACAAGACAGGGACTCTGACGTTCGCAAGTATGCGTTCAGACTACCGCGTCGCCAGGGAGAGCTTGCGGTGCCCACAAGTATGAGCGGTGCTGGAGATGCAGGACTGGCGAATAGCAGGGAGCCCAGTGATGATGGCAGTGACTAGTAAGTCACTTTTTAATTTTATTCTGATGGTGCATGTAGCAAAACTTGTCACCCACCTGGTTCCTCTTGGTTGACGATTCCACATTTACTGTGGGACTCTCTCGCAGCAATTTCCTTCGTTTGCGGAACATTTACTACTTCAAATCTTTCAGGGTCTCTTATGAAGGTACTCAATACAGTGTTTTTACTGTTCAAATGAACATAAACATGAAAATGAGGTGTGTTTAGACTTATGTTTCTTAATTTATATTTTATTTATATTTTTCCAACACCTTCATGAAGTGTGTGTCTGAGTATAATATTAGTTACTGTTTCTGTATGATTAATGATTGGAAAATACAAAAATTAAGAGGACACATTATCTAGGCAGTCAGGAGTCTACGTGTTTTCCGATGACTATTACACAGGATTGAGTACATTTAACAAACTAGTGGTGTTCATGCAGTGAGAAATCTGGCCATGGAATCCTGGAATTCTCGACAGACAAGGCGGGTCAGGATGTCACGCCACTGAACTTGGAATTTGGTGATGACAAACAGCAGCACAAATCAAGTGGCGGAGCTCTGAATTCCATCGCAGGTATGTTCTGCACTGCACTGCACAGCCGAGTCACGTGGCATGTGTTGGCACTGCTCACAGGAGGAAAGCTCAGTTGAGTTGATTGTTGTCAGTGAAATCCTTCTTATGCAAGCCGTCAGTCTGTCCACTGGAAAACGGAGAAGTCAGAAATTCATAAACTCAGAATTGTAAACAGACAGCTGTGCTGTTTTCTCCAGATTGGTTCTTCTCTGTTGGTACTTTCCACAGTGACATTTGAAAATGTTCATTCTGTACCTCGTGTTAGATTTTCATAATTTACAAATGCATACTTGTCATGTTGACTTAGGGGCTCTGCCTGATACGTATATTTAATTGTGGAGCGTAAAAATATTCCATGTTGTCTTTGCAGTATTTTCAGCCAGGAATTCCTGAGACAATGTGGGTAAATTTCACATGGCTCAAGTGGTACTTTTTGTTGTTGTAATGTTGTTAGACCCTGTATCCATATGTAGGATTTAAGAACATTTCAAATTGACGTGTAGTTGATCAATCAATCTGAGAGAGCTGCGCAGTAATATAGACACCCTAGTACATGGTCAGAGACACTGAATTTAGCTGCTTGGAGTAATTGTGGCAGAAGAGCCTGCCCTAAGATTAGTGATTATGACTGCACTTAGTGGCATAACATGATCGGATAGTGCTTTGTAAGTGTTTTATTTTTAGAACTAATTCATAAATGCTCCTTGTTCCCAGATAATAAATTTTTAGTAGATCTGAAATAATTCAACATGGATCATGTATAAATTGTGGGTCTTTAAAATCCAAGAACAAAATCTTGTTTGTGTCAAGGCCTGAATTTATAGCCACTGGACCAAAACACGACAATTTTAGTTAACATACTGACCAGCAGTCTAGAGCTGTTCTGTAATTCGCTGATATTTGGATTGTTTACTTTTCTGAACTATGTAATTTTCTGTTCATAAAGAGATTGTGTGGGCTTTCGGTAATCCACACATTGACCGCGGGCAGTCGGTGTGGATACCGAAAGTCGCGTATATCACTTCTTCTGTTCACATCTTGCCCCGCAGTGGGCCACACACCTTTGCTATTCATATGTTACCAGATGATAAGCTATTAGTTTCTGTATCACAACAACACACAATTCCATCCTTTGGGGCAGGTGGGATGTAGGGCCATGACTAGTGCTGCCGTAGCAGCATAATGTGAAAACACTTTGTTTTTTGTCGAGCTGTCATGTGTTTAAGTTTTCACTGCCTCGAATGGTAGTCATGTTTGTAATGCATAGAATTGGTAAGTTCACTGGATGTATGTAGATGTCATTAGTTCAGTAATCCGCTTGACTTAGCCCCGTGGCATGAGGTCAGCAGCCATAACACCATAATTTAAACCTCGTTACTGCATGGGTAATTGCTGTTGTAGTTAGAAATGTTGCAATGTTTGCAGTAGTCATTTGTACAGTTGGCAGTGTTGCACTTGTGTTTCTAACTCCAGATTTTCAGATATGTCAATACAGAGTGAGACTTGTTCCTGTCTGTAAGGACTCTAATGTAATAGAAATTTATTGAACGTATCATAAGCATTCATCAGCCTGTCAGAGTTTCAGTGTAACTTTCTTTAAAGAAAGAGATTTTCTCTTTATATGAATTTAGTTCACTTACTACAAAATCAGTTAACTTAATAAGTTCCACTGTTAATGATACACGCGGGATCTTCACAACACATAAGGAGTCAATATATCCTCAATTTTCTGTTTTAAATTCAGTTATTGGTGCCTCGGCACTGTGTTTCTGCCATTTCGACGTGGCCCCAAATTCTTTGCTCAGCATTGTAATAGTGTGCTGCACAGTGAACATGTTTGTGCATAAAGTACAACAGTTTCTGAGAAGAAATTTCTATCATATTCATGGGGATGTGCTGGAGAATCCTGGAGAAATCCTGAAGAAATTCTGGAAAAGTCTTAGAGTAGTGTCGGAGAAGTCCTGGAGAAGTTATGCTGAAATTGTTTTTCATGGAGAATTGCTGGAGAAGTCCTGGAAGGTTATTTGGTAGTCCTTAATCGGAGGTGGGTTTAATCCTATGCGTTTCGGTTATTTTGATTGGGGTGTGTTACATTAGATTAGGTTGCGTTTGGTGTTAGGTTGGGTTAGGTTAGGTTTAGTTAAGTCAGGTAAGTTAAGGGTAGGATATATAAGGTTGTTGTTTTACGATGGGTTGGGTTGTCCTGGAGAATTTATATCGTGTTCATTGGGTGGTCATGAGGAGTTTCATCCAGTTGTTTAAACTGTAGGAAATAAATATAGGAATCTACTTGTCTGTTTATTTATCCTTTTATTGTAAGCTATCAGAAGTTTGAAACTTGACCAACAAAGAGTGACCAAGACCTTTAAATATTTGAGGGGCTGAATATTTTTAACAAACTGTGTCTCACCAGTGTTCAAAAATCCAGATTTCACCTTGCTATTGTAAGGTTTCATTTGAGTTGGATGGAGTTGACCGGAACCTGACGATAACGTTGTATGACTACTGTTGCATTGCGTATGGCGTAGTTCTGCAGGCGGGGTTCCAACAAAGAGCGTTGTGGGTTGACTGGCTGGGCCAACAGTGGACATCATTCTTTCTTACTGAATGTGTAGAATCCTTCCATGTTTGTTTATTCCGACAGACATAAATTAAGGACATTTTTGGGATTATTCAGTTCAAAAACTATAGTCATTCTGTCTACCGTTGAAGGCACTTACATACATAAACAGAGTGACAAGATAGGGCTGAAGTTTGGACATCGTCCATTTGTGTTTTGTCTCCATTTAGGCCTTCGTGTTGGCAAACGCTCTATTGTGTCCATGTATTAGGAATTGGAATCCTGCCTTCGTGGAAATAGAGACTGAGTATGCATTGGGTACACAGGCATGTTCTCCCAGCTGAAACGGAGCCTCACTGATCTCCGTGGCTTGCACAAGTCGGCATCAGCGGCCACCGTGACCCTGAGACACCAGCAGCAGGACTGCAAATCTGGTAGGTGTCACACATTCTCACTGTGCACCATGAGGTGGCAGCACTGTCACACATTTAAAATGTTGCATGCACCCATTGGAACTGGAATACATTTTTTTGAGGTCTGTGTGTTTGAAAATATTTAGTAATATTTTAACAGACATGGAGACATGTCTCCAGTATACAAATTTTGTTTTTTTGTCCTAAAGGTTGCTTAATTTTTTTGAAAACCCATTTCAACTCAGGGCGGGCTTAATACAAAATATTTTACTCATTATATTATATAAAATTATTCTAAATCAATTTCTGGTTTAGTGATTGAGGCTATATTTTCTTCAGATTTGTGCACTTGAAGAACTTTACCTGAGAATATTAGTTCATTATATACAAGTAGCATTTAAAATACAAGTCATGTTTCCTTTTATCATATATAACTAAAAGTCGATTAAATTTCTCAAGGATAGACAAATGAAAATTTCTTTTGCTGTCTATATGAAATTTAACGACATAAAATGTGGCATTTTAAATGCTGTTGTTTCTCCTGTCTGATATAATGTGAAATCTTTGTCTTATTAATTCAAAAGTCTTTGTTTGTTAATTCTGGGAAGAGCTTTATCACATTTAAACAGAAAAGCATTGTTACTGCAGCATTGCCAAACAAAATGAATGACCTGGTGCTGTCATCTCGTGCCACAGTCTACTGACTGGACCTGCTCATGCTGTAGATCACTGTATAATGTTAAGTAGTTTCACCTCTTCATGACAGAGTGCAGTACTGCCGCATGTTGCATGTGTGATTTTCTGCTGACACATTAGTTTAATTAACTTTGTGTGTCCTTGTCTCTTGATACACTGTCTACTCGTGTATGTTTCTTTAAAACAGGAAGAAGTTGCTTATGTTATAGCTTATTTGCATTGCTTTCTTTCAATTCTCTTCCTGTGTGTTTTTGCGGCAATCGAAACAAGAAGCTGGCTCTGGTAACTATTTCACGCAAGGCACTCGTTATTGAAATCACTTAGACACTGTAATAATGGGTCGTGTTCCCAATAGGGACTCACGAATATGTATGTATGTATACATGTGTGCTTTTATTAGTTGCCCTATGTAGTAGTCCTTGAAAAGGACTGAACTTCCATCTTATGACTAAAATATCTATATCATTTAGTAAAAAATAAGGTCTTTACTCAGAGACCTGCCAAGTGCTGGGTCAGAGATGAAGTCTCTGATCTGAGGACTGAGAGAGCAGTTTGATCAAATGGTTATCCTAGGTTAGTTATGGGGAAGAGACGTGTGAAGTCAGAATGGCAGCAGCCTCATATTATCTTGGTACGTCGCACAAATGCCAGGGAGGCTTGTGGTGACACAAGTCTCCAGAAATGTCACAGCTTACACAGTTTTGAATCTCATTCACTTCCAAGCTTCTCAGAATAACTAAATAACTGTTTATTTCAGTATTATTTTATCAACACCTTCTGTTAATAACTTTGTTCAGTATAGTAAACTTAATATTGCTACAGCATTTTTATCACTTTGGAACTTAAATTTTCAGTTAACTCAAGTACAACTAATTTATGGTTCCCTCAGTACCATTTTATTGCTCTGTTCATAAGCCAGTATGGTCACTTTTTTGGAATGGGATCCCAGCTCTTGACTGGCACCAACAACAAAGAAAGTGAGGTGTTAATGAGGGATTCAGGCTGAAATGAAGAAGGTACTTCTTATGATATGAAAACGTCATATGTAATGTAATCCCACAGAATTTTTGCAGGAAAATTTCTCAGAAGGAAAATTAGATTCTGGTTTTGAAACTTGGTAGTGAAATTTAAAACAACTGTAGCATCAACTAGGAACAGAGTGACACAAATATTTACGTCTGAATAAATTTCTACCAGAAAAATGGGACTGACGGTTTTCTAAAAGCCTGTGTAGCCAGGAAGTAGGTGTAATATTGAAGCTTAAATAATGACGTCTAGGTGTGTACATTGGTCCCAAGATGAATCATTATTCTGAGGAAGTTGAGCCCTGAATGACGTTGCTGCTGTAGACTAAGGATCTTAATCCTCTGACAGACACATAAATTTTATTGCTCACACATTTTTATAGTTGCTGTACAGAAGAGAATATGTGTTTGTAATATATCAGAACTTTTTTGAACCGGTTCATTCCTCATTATACATCTATGTATGAAGGTGGTGGGGAGCTTCATGGTGCCATTGGTGGGCCACCATGGGATGAGAACCTAAGACCAAAACAGATTTCTCTGTTGCTAGGTTTATACCCTGCAGTATTCTTTGTCTCAGTTCTTTCAAGAGTTCGTATGTTTCTGTGATTGTTTGTACATGTTAAGTCTTTTTATGTCTGTAAGTTGACTTGTGGTATTTACCATTATTTATTAGTTAGTCTGAAAGGCAACTTGAATGCTTTCTGTATATTTGCAAGTTACATAACTGCTTGTCAGTCGGCTGATGCGCTAGGACACAATTACCTGACATTAGGCCTACAAACTATATTACTGATTGTCAGTAAACCTATGTGCTGTTAGACATTTTCTCAGTATGTCTGTATCACATACAACAATTTAATTGTGTAAAACGTATGTCAGAAAGACTTCATTGCCTGACAGCTACAGTGGATTTGGAAACTCTACTTTTACTAACCAGTAGCCCTTGTGTTACGTAACTGCCTGTCAGTAGGCCTGCAGTATATTTAACTGCCTCCCAGTAGGTCTGCAAGCCTTGGAACGCTTGTACTGACCAGTGCTTGGCTTACAATACGCTATTGTAGGTGATTTCTCCAATACGGTGGTGGCTTTGAGGAGTGGAACTGGTGGCAGATCCCCTGCCGTGATGGTGCACTGCTACCCCCGAGAGAGCCAGCCCCTGCTGCAGCAACACAGCTCCTGTACGTACCATCGTGTGTGTGTTGTGGGCTCGACTCCCGCATGTTTTTATGGCATGTTCTGTGTTAGCTACTGATTGTGAACTCATACTACATTGAGGGAAGCTGTTTTACTGATAAGACCTGGACCTTAGGTGTACACCAGTACCAGTGGAGGATATGATCATTACACAGAAATACCGTGTTTATTCAAATGTCAGGTGCCATTTTTTCGGAAGATGTACTGTGTTGCGGTATTCCTCACTGACAGAATCTATGGATCACGCTGCAATGGCACATTGACACTTGTGGCACATTTGTTCGTGACGATGTACATCACCTCTTGGTTTGAGTAACAAGATGTTCCTACAGGATTGTACTAGCTTTAATTCTCAGATGGGAGAATTCTATTGATCTTTTAAATTAATTCTCTTTGAATTTGGCACTTAAATTTAAATGTTCAGTAGCAATTTTAATATATTCTCTATAGTAAGATGAACAGAATTGAAAATAACTGAAAATGCATAAACCAGTATCTGAAATTTGTGTGGGGAAACACAGTAAATTTGCAGTCAAAGAAACCTTTATATGTTGGTGGTGTAAGTGTTAAAAAACTAGACCTGAACATCGCACATTATATGTAGTCATTAGGTCACTGAGACTCCACCTTTTTTAAGTTCATGGCATTTTGTGAACTTACATAATGGCTATACTATCAGGACTTGTTCACTAGAGCCCTGTTTTGAAAACAGGTTTAGTCATGTGAAAATGTGGTTCGAATTTTCGTGAACCCCATGCCTTTCGCTTGGACTGGTAGAACGCAGAAACTAAGCAGCTGGATCTCCTCTGCTCCAGATATGACTTATTGGTTGACTGTTTGTCTTTCTGTTTGCAGTGTCAGGGGTAGGCATGTCCACACCACACCTGCACCGTCGCCAGTCTTTTGCTCCTACTCAAGAGGACAACTTTCAGGTTCCCTCACAGCCACAGCCTCCCCATTCTGCCCTGAGCCATGTCACAGGCTCATCCTACTACACCACTCCATCACCTCCTGTACATTCCAGTGCCATGTTGCACACTCAGCCCCCTCCCATGCAGACTTCGGACTGCATCCACCCCTCAGCATTACCACCTATCAGGGATCAATCGCCAGCACCCCCACATCATTGGGATTCCAACAGAGACTTTGACGTTTATGACAGGATAGAACAACTGAGCAGGTAAACACCTCTCAAATATCAGTCGACATCTATGAGGCTACTCAGAGCAACATCCCAGAAGATAGTAATTTTTATCTGAAATTTAAACTAAAGTATGTCTGTTATTCCTGTGATTTGTGTTCATTGTAGGCAAGTGCAATCGCTAGAGCACTCTGTTGCCAGTGATGTGAGGCTTATCCTTACGATCTTGCAGCAGCAACATGCAGTACGCAGCTCTGAGTCTTCTGGGTCCTCCATGATGCCTGACTACAGAGAGGTGAGTTCAGAAACGCCACTTATAGTAATGGCCATGTTCTTTGCACCAAGTGAATGTTTGATAATTAAAACTGCTCATCGGATTTTACTTGTGTCTGATTGTATGCACGAGATGAATGAATTTTAATTCGTACTAATCCACTTGAACAACGCATATGAGATGAAGATCAAATGAAATAAGTTTTTCTCAAGAAAGATCATGATACAAATATTTCCTTATTGTTTATTAATGGATTTACAGTAGAATGTCCTCTGTTACTTATACATTACTGCCAACATACCAAATTAGGAATTAAATTGAAATGTATGTTTAAAATAATTTGACTCTTTGGGCGAGGCCGTGGTCTAGGCAACACGGAGTTTTCCTCCGGGGGCTTCCCCGGTTCTCCGTGGCATCCTAACAATTACTCCATTCACACACAGAAGAAGGCAATGGCAAACCACTTCTGGATCATCTGCCAAGAACGTATATGAACAGGTCCCAGTCCGAGAAAAGGATGGAAGGATCCTGTTCATATGGACCTGGCGTCAGACAGAACACTAAATAATAAAAATTAAATAAACGCACAGCGGGAAGGTCGTGTCTCGGAAGATACTCGACGGATTTATATTAAATTTCGTATTGGCGTGTATACAACGAGAGTTGTTTGAATCGAAGTTTGGTCTGTGTCGGTCCATTATGACCTCGGCTGTACCACCACTTTATTTAGCACCTGTGAATTGTGGGACGGGAGGGTGTTAAACTTTTTAATCTGTGCCCGCACTACACGCGTGTCGGAGAAGTTTCCGCCATGTCAGGGGCTATTGAGCGCAGTGACTATGGCTACAATTTGATTTTTCAAAAAGTTTATGAACATTGTGTCTCTAAGACTCAGTCGGCTTATTTGTGAAAACATTACACAGTGTAGAGTTTAAAATGATTTATGTTAGATGTCTGCTGTTCTTCTGCCATTTGTTTCACAGGACCTTATAAGTCATTTAGCTTTCCACCAGTTATCTACGTACATATTCAAAAGCACTTGCTACAAACAGATAGAAAATCACAGTTCTCAACCCACTTCGTGCTACCCACCAGATATCCAGTACCTCACTTTATTTTATTAGCTGTTCGAGAAGATCAGTAAAGTGATTGTGTTGCAACTTTGAGGGCTAAAGCTAAGTATGGCGTTCACAAATAGAAATTACAGGTTACCTTGTAAAGATATAAGGAGAATCAGATTTCTGTAATTGAACACCAGCATGAAAAGGGTTAAAAGCAGTGATGATTGTACGACAGATGGCAGTGTTTCTTGATACCAGTAAATTACACAGTTTATGTGATTGTTTTGCCCCCAGCCTATAAACAATGGCAGTTACGGCATAACGATAAAGTACTTTAAAGTAGGTCGTGGTTACTCAGGTAATGCTGACTTCTAATCTCTTCTTGCAGTCTTCTTCAGATTATGGTCAGAGATCTGGGAGGTCATCCAGGGAACGCAGTTCTCAAGCACAGAGGAGTTACAGCATCTCTCAAGACAGTCCATCGAATTTCAGGTGAGTCAGTCCACATACAAATTTATCGTCCACCAAGATATATCTAGAAAATTCTTGATCTTAGGGACAGGTGAGAGACTTCACTTGTGTGTTGATTAAACACATAAAACAAACCTAAATTTTGCAGGCCTCCTACACTGGAAGATCAGGCCTTGTCACAGCAGCCCTGTCCCTCCACAGATGTGTCCCATTCTCACAGGAGTGGTAGCAGTGACTCACACCAGAGACTGCCACAATTGTCATCCGTCCCGCATACAGTGACACCGGAACTTCCCACCAGAAGATTCCACCAGCAGCAGCCTTCGAGGGTCCCACAGCGTAGCCAGTCTCAACCTGCTGACCTTACTCAGGTTAGGGAACCTTTGAAATGTTCTAATATTCTATGGGAAAGGAATTTTTGTGCAAATATTGTTTTTAATTATTTTTTTATTTCAGCAACTAAACCTGACCAAATTCACTTTTGTCATGTAACACAAAACATGAAGACTTTAAGAGTTATGTTCTTGATAATTACTGGAAGCACTGAGAAAAACAATATTTTTGTCCAAGAGGTTAAAGTCTCTTAGTTTGAAAGCCATAGCAGACAAATGTTTGTATTTACACGTAGCATCTTCTGCAGGTTCATCACTCACCCTCCCTGAGTTGGCGACAATCCTCACTCCTGCAGCCCTCCACGCAGGCAGACACAGAGAGCGAGGATGTGTGGTCCATGCACCACACTCCCCGGGGCACAGGCAGTGATGATGCAACCTCCTGGGAATTCAGAGAAGTACCAGGAGCCAGACTAGAGGCACCCATCGCACGTCTGGAGTCTCTAGATGAGCTAGACCAGGGGCAGGTGAGCGAGAGTGTAAGACGCTAATGCCGTGGTACCGGTTGTTAGGTTGAACCCAGAATTCATCAGCATATTTACAAGTACATGTGCTGTGCTGTGCTGTGTTGAGGTGAATGAAAAGTGTCAGTCTCCTTATTCCTCATTTATCTCTAACAAAAGCCTGTACTGTGGAGTTCTCTTAAATTTGTTCATCTTCCAGGATTCATGGAGCAGCAGTCCAAATACTGGTGTTCCCTGCAGGACAACACCTGAAACTAAATCTTCAGATGTATAGACACTTGAAGTGATTTACTGATGTCATGTCCCATGGCTTCTGGATGGGTCCCAGTGAGGGCCGTGGCATAGCTCAATGACGGACGAAGTCCTGTGATGAAATGCATGGCACATGCATGAGTATCGAGTGTCATGTAGGTATTACTAGTTTTATTCAGCGTACAATGCGGAAAATTAACATTATGGAATGAACTGGATGATAGATTTTTAGCTGTTTTACTACTTGATTGCACCGTGAGTACAGGTGTAAGTTACAACTGAAAAGACATTCATGTCGATTTGGTGCTTTTGAAGCTAATTTTCGATGTATTCACTTACTAATAGTTCATGAAAGAACCAATAGGAGTAGGACATGGAAAAGGTATACATGAAAGATACAATATAGAAATCAGTAACGTGTGATTGGAAACATTTGTTGACAGCAAAGAACAAGGATCAGAAGATAATGCAACTTTGGGCAATATCGAGCTTCGGATGAAGAGAATTTCCTTGAGACAACACAGCACTCTGTTTGAATTCTGGTTAACATTTCCATAATATCTGTATGTAACAGTAGTCATACTTTAAACTTCCCACTGCCTGGTGTCACTGTTGTCTTACAAATTTCAAGCCCACTAACAGCCTCTGTCCGGGGAGTCTGGAACTGATCCCTCCAGTTGCTGTTGTGAGCTTTACAACAAAAAACACCAAGCCTGACAGTTGTCATCTTTCAGAGTTTTCAGAATGAGATCGGTTTATGACCGACGTATCTGCTCCTAGAGGGCTCACTTCAATTTTGCTGCATGATATGTATTTTTACTTACATTTGAATTATATATTTATTATTTACAGTGTATATAAGTATCTATATATGCGCAGGGTGTTGTATATATCATATTCGGAACAGCGTAGCTTTGTATATAAATTGGCACAACTTCATGATGTCAGTTCCTTTTGCAATTTTTTGTGTGAGAGTATGCGTGAATGCTGAAGCAAAAGCATTTTGGAAGTTTGGAATTTTTTAAGCGAAACATGTTTTTCTTAAACCAGATTTTTGCTCAGGTACAAATTTAATTATGGTACATACTTTTTGCTTTCAATATTATTGTTGATTGTGAACTAAAGGTTGTGATTTTTAAATGGCTGAAGGTGGAGAAAAATTCAGCTATTCATTTACATACTTTCAGTACAGGACTGTACAGGACTTAAATACGGTGTGTCTATAAAGCCCTTCTATTTTATACCATATAAATTAAATGCAAGCAAGAGTGCAAGGCGATGCTGATATGTAAGGACTAAATATTTATTTTCTGCGACAATAGTCCTCATTTTTCCAAAGTAGGTAGGAACTTCATGGACATACTGTATATCTGTGAACTTACCAGTCAGAATGTGTTCTGATGTTTGTATGGCACAATGCATTATGATGCCCATTGTCCAGCGACAATTTAGCAATACTAAAGTGACAACAGGGTGATATTTGTTTATCATTTTCCTAGGATTAAACTGGCTGCATGGGGGAGCTTATGCTATGACAAAACAAGCCGCGGTATTTGTCAAAACCTAGGTTTAAATTGTGTGGGCAACTCTAGTATGAAATTGAAAAGAAACTGCAAGAAATTAGAGCTAAACTTGAGACCATGCCTCTACACTCTCAGTTAAAAAGTACTCACAGAACCTGCTTTACCCATTTTATAACTGGTTTGACCTTTAAAGATTCTAACAGATAATTGCATTTTAGGTAGAGTTTAAGTACAGTTTGTATGCCTGTCTGTACACTTTACCCATGGCTGAATGGGTCATTGGAATTTATTCATGTTTAGTATCAAAAGTATTTATACTTTGAAAAGATGAACTTCATACATTGAAAGTTTACAGAAAGATTTAAACGTGACTTGGTAATTTTCTTGAAAACTCTTGTTAATGATTTCTACTAAATTTCAGTCTCGTTATGCAAACTGCAATTCCTAATAAAACTAAATAGATTCTATACCCAGATAAGAACTCACAGTCTTCATTAGTTGTTCTTTATCATGATGCATAAAACAGAGATGTACATATATAAGACATTTTATGCAGTGCAGTATAATTTGCCATACCAAATGCAGTAAAATATCAATTACCCACAGAATGCTCTAGTAACAGCGTGCTATTACATTTGATGTACATCTTGTTCTATATCCCAGATCTTAAGATACACAGGCTTTGCGCTCGGTGGTTACCTTTTGAGTTGTCAAAAATATTTCCTCACGTGCATTTTTAAATTGGCACCGCTACAGGCACAAACCTTTTGCTTGTTACCCTCACATCAGTTTCTCTGTAAACTACTCTTTCCATTCCATACCAGATTGAAGCAACAGAAGGGGCACGTATTCCCTCTGCAGAGTGAGGCAGTTGCCCCAGACTTCAGTAGAGTGCTCTGCTTTTGTTCAGTATTGAAAGCCTCAGTTGCTCTCAATTCATTAGCTTGTCTATTAACAGTATCATCAATTCTCATGCACTATTTAAAGATAACTGCATCCTCGAAGCTGTAAAGAAATGTGTCATTTGACTGGAGTTTTCAAGAACTATTTTCTAGTGCCAAAAATAGCTTTTTATTCCTTTGAATATAACTCTTTTTGCTGTTATTTATTTTAAGTAAATTTATAGTTTTAGCATTGTTTTTAATGCAAAAGTATGTTCATCATATTCAGATCACACACATTCTTTCCAGGCGTTGCATATAAATCCCCTCCCCTTGGTGGCCAGTGCTCTAATGACTTTACTTAAACTCATCCATTACAATTACTCCTATCTATAATTGCACTTTATAAATCATTTTAAGAAACTTATAAAAATATAATTCTTGTACCACAGAAATAGCCACTTTCCAAATCCTTATGGCAGGTCTGCACAACGAATCTTTGTCATCTCTTCGCCCGTTCTGTGGATTTTCAGGAGGGATTTGAAGGCAGTTTGTAGTGATCTTGTATTTTCAAACACACCCTCTTGAACATGTATGGATATTCAATAGTACTTTTTCAATTTTCAAAACAAAAATATATATATACATATATTTTATCATTCATTCATTGTAAAAATGGATAACATGGTACAACGCATGTGAAATTAAATCTGATGTAATGCCAAAATTGCTGCCCTCCACATGACAGGAGTCTCATATGAAGAGTTTCAAGAAGGCACTGGAAAGTCAGTTTTTAATAGTTTTAGAAATGTACTATTTCCAAATGGTGTGATGTCGCAATACAAACACTGAAGATCTGTGCAATGATATGAGCGTCTGTGTAGTGGCAAGAGATGTGCAGGGTGATGGTGCTACACCTGGACCCCTCCAGCAAACATTAAGCCTCTGAGATTATTACAAAAAGTGGTGCTCATAATGTGCACAGCGAAAGAGTATGTCAGTCTGACTCCTGTGTCAGTGATGACAGTTAAGTCTGTGATGATGTGACTGCTGGAACTTCTCATAAAAGCAGTTGCGATTTGAATGGATACAAGTCTGTGAGGACACACACGTCCCAGTTAGAGTCAGAACTGTCACCCAGGTGTAATTTCGTTGTGGTGTGGATTCTAAACTGTTAATTCAAATTGGCTCAGGTCATACAAATAAAATTAAAATTACTTTAGTTTGTCTTAATTTCTCACTATAACTGTTTTAATTTTTCACTCTTCCATTATCCTTATTCTTATTTAAAAATTGTATTATGGGGTTTGTTATGTTAAATGCAGTCCTCTAAATGTCATGCTGGATAAATACCCAGTTATGGCAGTTTAAATATGGAGAGCAGAGGGCAAGGGTTCTTCCAAGTTCCCTAATTGTCATCATAATCTGAAGGTAGCACTGCTATAGCAAATCTTCCATCACTGCAAGCATGTCACTCCATCTATAAAGTAGTTGAGCACCACCTAAACACATGTTTATACTTGAATCTGCTTATGTTCCATAGAACTAGCCCATTTGAAATGATTATTGGCTATTTTTGAAGTGAGGTTTTCATAAACATGCAAGTTCACTGCTGTCGTATATTTCTGAAACATTAACACTAGTCTTTAAGCATATATTATACACTGTGTCAGTGCATATATATATATATATACCTATTGGTAGTGAGGCTTCATATATATACATTGTTACTAAATATTGCTACCATCCTCACTTTTAAAATGGTTAAGTAAAGCCAAGAGAAATGGTGCAGACATACTGGCCACTTTGACAAGCACGAAACTCCTCGTAATTCTGTTGTCAAAATGAAGACGTACATATGCGCCTCGTTTAACTTAGTTCAGGATGGAACAGTTTCATGCTGCTGGTGTGATATCAAGCCCCAGTGATACATGTACAGTTCTTTAATATATCACCAATTTTACTTGTAACTGCATCATGGGGACTTGATCACATGAACGACAGTTATGACCCGTTGCAGCAGTGTGAAGGTGGCTTGATTTCTGTAAGTTTTCCAGTATGTTGGACAGTTGTGACCTATTTATGATCAAACAAATAGAATGTGATGATGTGGATATGAGATCATCATGACCAGTGACACAAGATGGCATGTGTGAGAGACTTTTTCTGTGATCGAGGCACATGCAGTGTTGTACCAAAATAGAGTGTTTTTCTTATTTCTTTTAAGCATATAGGAAATTTAAATGCAAGATATTTATATTCAGACTTATGTGTAAAAAATAATGAGCTTGGCCTGATATCTGTCTCCATTTTTGTATATTTGACAATATAAAGACATTTGTTGTGACATCTTGTGGAGCAGTGCTGAACTTTGCATCATGCAACCTGTTTCATTTTGCAGTATGCTAGTTGTCAAGGCTTCATGGTACAGTTAAAGCAGTGGATAAACAGTGAATTGATTAATCATAATAGGCGTAATAAGATTATCAGGAATCGTTGTGACACAGACACTTGTAGTGAACTCGGATAGTCCTGTCTAACAATTTTGAAATACTGTATCATCACGTGAAAGAAGGGGTTGTAGCCTATTTTGAGATAAACAATTGAGGAATTTTCAAAGAATGCCTTAGTCAAGATTTTATACTGGATACAAGTGAGCATCATTGACTTAATCTCTCTTGGAGATGTTTATGGTTCACAGTTCTGGTCAGTTTGAACTGTTTGGACAACTGACTGTGTAGTTGCTCTGTTTATGTCACAATATGTTTGACATTAGTTAAGAACTTAGGTTAAAAAGTGTAATTTTTTGATATGAGAACTTCTAATGTTTTATAATGGCAATGGCTAATGTTTCCTAACCCTAAAAGACATTTTTGCAATCCTCAGTAATTTAACAGTCTTTGTATTCCAAGCAGATTCTAAAAGTTAATGGCAATGGAAAAGACTAAATGCATCATAAATGATAAAAAATAAATAAGATAGTGATCGAATGATAATGACAATATAATAATATTGGTGTTCTAACTCCTGACATATTATTTCAGTGCAGCCAGAGTGATACATTCACTTCTGAGCATTTAAATTACATTTGAATCCCTGGAGAAAAGCATTTTCTGGGTTAGGAAGCAATGTGCATATCGAACACACGCTAAAAATTGGTACAAGTTTTGATTTTTCCTAGCTTTCACTGTGCCTTTTGAAAGTCTTGTGGTCATTCATTTACAACTAGCCAAAAATAGCAAGCCATCATTGATGTTACAGAAGCCAGTTTTCTTGGCTGACAGACAGCTTATAGTCAAGATGATTTTATTTTAGGAGAACTTCTGTAAATGTGTTGTTGGCTGAGATGGATTGCTTCCTGTGATGCAGTACCATTCCCAGCAGTTCTTCATCACATAGAGCCTTCAAAGGGGACAGAACCTCCAGTAGTCTAGGAACTGCTTATCTAAACATACCAAGAATACCGTAGGTGTAGCACTGGCAGTTGTGATAAAATGCCTGTGTATGGTAGTGTTTTGTACAAAAAGCGCCATTATGCTTTTGCTTGGAGAAAACTTTAATTTCATATGTGAGTCCCAGGCAATTTAAACAAAATGTTTTCATACTTTTGTTACTAAGCAACTTTGTACATAAGTGTATTATTCACAATACATTGCACTTTTAAGTATACTTTGGGATTTATTTTTACTGAAAAGTGTCTTGGTGCTTTTTGCAGGTCTTTAAAATGTTATATATTTGCACATCTGAACAGAAGCGCATTCTCTCTATATGCTTATTACGGATCATTAATCGTGTAAATGATGACATTTTATTTAATTTGTGAATCACTGATTGTTATGATAATAAACACAAGTTGAGCCTTGTTTTAAATGTATTTTTAATTAAAAACTTTTTAACCCAAATCTCTTCTTTCCTGTTATACAGTGATACAATATTACAAAAATATGTGGACTGCAGGTTGAGAACCCATGGACTAGATTATTTCATTGCTTGAGTTGTAGTTATATTTTACAGAGTATGGTGTGTCATTCTTTTTAATTAGATGCTGGGAGAACAATATTGGTAATGTCATGCTGTTGTCAATTGCCATTCCTACAGTAGTACTGTATTTATTATCTCTTGCATGGCTAATATTGGGGCTATTGCCTGCTGAGACCATTTTTGTTAGGAAAATACAAAGCACACTTTGCAGAAATTAACAGCTATGTTTGATATTCCGTTACATTTTTATTGGCATTTGACCCAATATGTGATATTTTATGGGAGAGAAGGGGGGGGGGTGACTTTTGAGGTCGGCACCACATAAGATGCATGTCACAAATTATCTATCTCAGGAATGTCATCGTAGATTACACATGTAACCATGACCACAGATCGCAATGTACGTTCAACGATACATCACAAATTTCTCTCAAATAGTTCGACGAATTAATATTGCCCTGCATGCAGTAATTATTAACACAGTCTTAGCAAATGGATCTTCTGACAGACAAAAAAAGCAAATTTATATAAATATTATAGAATACGTTAATTAACATTAATTCTAAATCCTTCCCGTGTATAATATGAAATTTCACGCTTTGGTTGGCTGTCTGATTTTGGGAAATTCAGTACCTATATGTTTACTTCCGCTTCCGTATTGTGTTCCGGTGAATGTTCGGTAATGTTCTGTTTGTGCGTGTAGTTAAAGAATAATATAATTTAATTTGTTAGGAAGGCTAACTGTATAATTTTGTAAAGAAATATTCAAAATGGCTCAGAGTAAACTGAATGACTTGGCTGGACGATTTGGTAAAGGTCCGAAAGGCGTAGGAACAGGATTAAAAATATTGGCTGTTGCTGGCGCCGCTCTTTATGGTGCTTCTCAGTCCATGTACACAGGCAAGTAGACCGGGTATGACCATAACGTACACATTAACTTCCGTTTTTTTACGTCGTAACTAGATGTGTTCTTAGCCGATTACTGTGTGGATTCATTTCCATTTGACATACATCGCTTTTCGTAATCAGCAACATTTACGTTGCATCATCCTAAAGGTATCCAATAATGTGCACGTATTCAGAAAATTCATTTCAGTTTTAAACGTTTGAGTGTAGCCTGTTTCCCCCAATGCTGTATTAGAAACACAATCTTTATAATTTAGCATTCGAGTGCTTACCATCTGGTGACCTGTAAGAAATGTTTTATCAAGTTGGTAGTTATATTTGCATTGTAGGTTCTTTTGGGATTTTCATGGCTGGTGTTTAATGAATAAATTTAGTTTTCTGAAATAAGGAGCTTTGAATTTTCAAGGTCTTACAATGTTTCTTAAAACATTGTTGCTGTTATCTTCATGGTAAATGTCTTTGTATTGTTTAGAAGACTTCTTAAATATGTAATATTGGTAGTTGAAGGCCTAATTGGATAGCATGCCCGTCTGTTCATGCCTTCAGCTGCTACTGCCAGATGTATGTAAGAGGTTTCAAAACTCACTTTCCCAAAGACATTCATCCTCAAGATGGCACAACACTGAAATCTCTTCGTGTGAAACTCACCAATAACAGTCATGATAGCAAACATGTTAGGAATCCAAAATCAAACCCACATATGCTTTTCTTCTGTATCTTTATGCCATGTGACAGAATTCAGAGTGACTGAGTGACAGAGTGATTGATTCTCGAATATCACTTTTAGTTGAAGGTGGTCACCGTGCGATAATCTTTAGTCGGATTGGGGGCGTGCAGCAAGAAGTATTTCCAGAGGGACTGCACTTCAGAATTCCGTGGTTCCAGTACCCCATCATATATGACATCAGGTAATCAAAGATACGTCTTGTGTCGTGTGAGGGGGAACTTAACCATCTGAGTGGCTGTTGTATTTTGTCCTTCATGAAGTTTGGTTATTGTATGATGCTCTGAGTGTTTTAAATGATAATTAGAATATCCTGCATTTCATTATGTGGATTCACATAACAGTTGTGCAGTTCACCTCAGTTTTAACCTCTCTTTTGCAATTACATTTTGTGGGAATAATTGTGGTTTGCATTTTGCCTTTGATATTGTATAAACATTTCACAATTTAATGGCTTAAAACTTATCTTTCAAGTCATGAGTATATATATTTTGATTTATGGTGTTATGCAGTAATTTGTTTGTGTAACTTCTTAATGCGTGGAGTTCAGTGACTCACAACACATGAACCTTGACTTTCTGCAGGTCCCGGCCCCGCAAGATCTCATCCCCGACGGGAAGTAAGGACCTGCAGATGGTGAACATTTCGCTGCGAGTCCTGTCACGTCCAGATGCGATCAGCTTGCCGATCATGTACCGCCAGCTCGGCCTGGACTATGATGAGAAGGTTCTTCCTTCGATCTGCAATGAGGTGTTGAAAAGTGTAGTGGCCAAGTTCAATGCATCACAGCTTATCACACAGCGCCAGCAGGTGGGTATCGTCGGCTTGCAGCATTGCTGACGCGTCTCAAGGCACCACTGTGATGTGAAAATACAATTTTGTCTTGTTCAGAGTAGCCAGAAATATGGTCGCAAGCGTACGTGTGCTTCAAAATGTCATCACTCTCATTCCTGAGAATTACATCACAGAATGCGCTTAATTTGCCACATGGACACCCCTGTAATTGTGACAAGTCAAATAACAGATTTCAACTGTGACAGTTGGTGAGATGAATGCCGTATTTTCCAGGTTTCCCTGTTGGTGAGGCGCGAGCTGACAGAGCGAGCTCGAGACTTTAACATCATTCTGGATGACGTTTCCATCACGGAACTGAGTTTTGGCAAGGAGTACACGGCTGCTGTGGAGGCGAAGCAGGTGGGAAAGTCACACCTTGCCCTGAGCCATTTTAATGCGATTCGCACTGTCACATCCTTTCTCACAAAGATCCAGCTACATGGGCATGTTTCGTGAAGTTTTTCTGACAACTTGTGTTTCTTATTGCGTTGTCCATCACTGTCATTGATTTTATGAAGTCTTACTGTTTCTTCAGAAGCCAAGAGTTGTCCAGGGTCTTTAGGAATTCCTCGCGTTTCTTAGATCCCAAAAATTCATTACCGTGTCCACAAGAGCCTTGATCTGTGCTCTTCGGTTAATTATATTGTAACTGTTTTGGTTATATTCATAGATAGGAGACGGAAAATTCTCTTTTGATTTTGTTGTAACCATAACACAGTGTATAAATGCCACCATAATTACGACACCCTCTCTGTTTCTGCTGGTACTTGGCTTTAACCTGATGAGGAATCGTGCAATTGTTATCCTTAAAAACTGGAATACCCGTATATTCCGCCTGTTTGTAATGCGTTTCACTTAAATGGATGTTGTGTTCACGCTATCCATTTGCAAAGTGAGAATCCAGGTTTAAGGGTTTTGCGATGCATTTGCGTGTTTGACCACTGGAGAAGGACGAGTGGTAGGGCTAATTAAACCGAGAAAGAAATATACGAACGAGCATTTGCTGCCTGTGACATCAGAGTGGATGTTTGTGACCAGACAGAAGAGAAGCAGTAACATGAGTTATCAATAACATAGTAATGAGTTCAGTTAATTCATATAATTAGTTTAATTAAATAAGAATTAAGTACAAATAATGTAACTAATTCACATGATTTCAGATTGGTCCTCAGTGAGTTTCATGTATGTATTTTTGTTGTGGCCCAGCCTGTGAAAGGGTTCCACGCACGTAAATTAGGTCTGTGTCGAGGTGGTGGTTGGTTGGTTTCTCATTGGTCACGTGTTTTCCAGGTTGCACAGCAAGAAGCGCAGCGTGCAGCTTTCGTGGTGGAGCGTGCCAAGCAGGAGCGCCAACAGAAGATCGTCCAAGCCGAGGGAGAGGCAGAAGCTGCAAAAATGATATCCTTTAAGAAAACTACAGGCATTTGGGCCCTGCCTCTAAGAAAACACACCTCAGCTGTGTTCAAAAATCAGTCAGCGTTTAAGGAAGCAATTGTTCTTTGTTCTTGGAATGAAAAGAAACTCGTAAACACATCTGGACGTACGGACTGTAAAGTTGTTACTTATAATGCACTGGATTTTAGAAGTTCTCGTGGTGCTGTAGATAAAGTTCCTTTTTTGCCAGAGAAGACTGGAACTGTCAGTGGAGCAGCAGTCTTACTGTTTACGCTGTTGTTGTATTGCTGAGTAGTGAAAGGTGAGGCATTTGTCAGCATTCTCAAAACGGGCGCTTGTGAACTGATGGTGTTACGATGACACTGTTTCAACTGCAGATCTTATATGGCATTGAATGAGATGAAATGATCTTATTTTATTTATTAGTAGCTGAGACTGTAGCGTTAAATAACAGGATTGACGAATAATGAATTCAAAGAGCAATGGGAGGATTTGGTTTCAATGAGACATGCCGAAAGGAAGTAGTTTTTTGTTTCGTGGATTTTCGCAGGGACTGAGCAAAGCCACATAAAGCGTGTCGTGATGGATGCTAAACGTGGGCATGGTTTAATCCGTGTACCTAAGAGCAAGATTTGAATTAGGAATTATATTATGTAACAAGAGTACTGATTTCTCGTGATTACTTTATGAAGCAAGTTCTGCGTAGAGTTGTGACTGCACTGCAGACAGCTGTATCAGGCCTCGAGGTTGTTTCTTTAAGACGCGTGTTTGTTCTTTACCACCTTCATTCGCAGGGTGCATCATTTAAGATCTGTTTGTGTGATGAGCCGAGAGCCTACGCCTGTTAAATTCTTGTCGATGTTGCTACTGTAGGGTGGGAAATCATCAAACACTGTCTGACCAACATTATATTTCCTTAATGTACCGTACTTGGGTGAGGCAGTGTCACAGAACCCTGGTTACTTGAAGCTGCGGAAGATCCGGGCTGCACAGAGCATCTCCAGGACGGTGAGTTGATCCATGTGTATGTATGCAGAGCTGGATGTGGATGGTTTGTGGGCATGTAGCTCTTATTGGGAGGTTCTTTGGTTGTAAAATGCAAGTGCTGACGCATGACAGTTTGCCAGTACAGGGGGTTATGTAAAGTATGAGAACGTCTTTAACGTTTTGGTTCTTACATCGCTGAATATGTTGAGAATGTTGCATTATTCTCCATTTTAACCATTTTGACAAAAAAGAAATTGCCGACTGTATTAATGTGTTTTAAACTTGGTACTTGGCTGTGATATATGCAATTAGAAGTTTAGAAAAAAAGACTTCAAAGAATATATAATTCTGGAATTTTTTTGATATTACAAGTGCATGTTAGAAGAAGAAGAAGAATTTTTTTCTCTTACATATAAATTCTCATTATATTGAAGTTGCCGTATATAAAACATTCTCATAATGTGTCTGTTTCTCACTTGTCTTGTTTAATTTTACACTTCTGGAGGTGGGGATCCCATGCCGTGAACACGTTCTTTCAATTTTGTTGCATGGAACTATAAAATCTTCTGTTGGCAATATTTTCTTAATGTCAAATACATAGATCATGAAATGCATTTTGCCCCATTAGTCCTTTTGCTTATATCTGACCACTGTTGCAGATCGCGAACTCGCAGAACAGAGTGTTCCTGAGTGGAAGCAGCTTGATGCTGAACATCAGTGAACCGACGTTCGACGACCTGAGTGAAAAGTTGAAAAGTAAGAAGTAGACAACACTTTATAGTAGATAGAATGTAGAGACATCTTAGAAGAGTCCCATCAACTAGAACATAGTTTCTCCTGCAAAGTCCACAAACTCCTTAATTGTGCCAGAGTAGAGGTGTTGGTATTACTGCAGATTGAAATAGCCGTATGAAGATTTATGTGAATAAAAGGTTGGTATGCCATGAAACTTCCTCTTAAGATTTGTGGGCTTTGCCGGAAAGACTCTGGTACTAGTTGTGAGGTCAGAGTGGTGCAGGGAGCGTGACGTCGCCTGCTCTCCCATAATAGGATTTAACCTGATTGACAGGGTCAAAGTTATGTGTTTGGACCTACAGTCGTGTTCGATGAAGTTGCGCTGCGGGCACGCGATCACTATTCATGCGGGTGAGCAAGTGGGCGCGCAGATACACACGTGCTGCATTACTGTGATGTAGGGAGGGAATTTATCATATTTACTCGCATATTAAATGGTGTCATATCCGATATTATTAATATCAGAAGCTCAGGGATGAAATTAACAGAACTTGTTTCTTACCAAGTTCACATTGAACAGCAGTTTCATAAGTTTCTTCAGCTGCTTGTTCTGCGTAATTTATCGCAGTTACTTTAAATGAAACGCATTTTTAAAAGGTTTTATGTTACATGCCTCTTTAAGTCCAGAAATATTAAGTCTTGTAGTCTGCCTTGTTTCACGCAGCACCGCTAACATAAGTTAGAGACATCTTACAGCAAACACTGAAATTTGTGCGCTGCTGTCATACGTCAACTGCACAATTCTTTTGGTAACATAAGGGTACTGATTGATCGTCGATGTTTTTGCGATGCACGGATTTATTAATCGGGTCATTGTTTTGCGTGACAGAGTGAAACTTCCGACTTGGCGTTAAGAGAACAGAGGTAGAAGAAGCAGGGTGCACCACACTGCACAACTACAAGCTTTGAGGGTTTCTTAGCTCTCCGCTGACTCCTTACTTGGGTGAACATGACCCACACAGTTGTAGACGGGAGGCCTCTGTTTGTTTCTGTATTCTGACATTCATTGCGTGCGATGGCACCAGCGATACTGACTTGTTAACTCTGGTTTTGTTTCTTTTACATTGGAAAATAAAATTTTTGTCGGGTTAATTGCTGAGGTGTGACTGTGTGTGTGTTTGTATGCGTCCCATCCTTTGCTCTCTCTGCGTCCAATTATCAGTTGTATTCCGAACCCTGGTCACATGAGCTTGTTTATTAATGTAATGAACCAGTTAGTGACACTGTGCATCAGACCACATTCTGGTTGTTACATTCTGCGAAACGCATGATTTTAGCAGCTGCCTACTTTTTTGTTGCTAGCGTTGGTTTTGTTATATTATTTTGCTTATCAATATGGATCGTAAAGAATTGAGTGGCTGGCACTCCTGCTAGATTCAAATTTTGGCCCAGAGGCTCAGTCTGACTTTCCTTTTTTCCTCAGCCCCTCCAGGTAAATGCTGGAATAAGCCAAAAGTGCTTCCGCATCCTCCGAAAATTGTTGTCTGAAAACCCTAGGGAGGAAGAGATTTGGGAGACCTGCACATAGATGGGAGGATAATATTAAAAAAAAATAGGGTTTGAGGGTATAGACTGGATTAATCTGATAGGAACTGGTGGCAGGCTCCTGTGAACATGGTAATGAACCTTCATGTTTTCTACAAGGTGAGAAATTTTGTGGCTTTACTCCACGAAATGAGGTACGTAAACTAACTCCATGGAGCAGAGTTGTTCTTGAGAAGCCACTGGTTGTTCATGTAGTCAAAAAGGATTCTGCCTTTTATGGATCACAGAGGATCATTCCTGTGTTCACAAGAGCTTGTCATCCTGAGTCACTTGAATCCAATCCGCGTCCTCTCACTACCTCTTGAGATCCATAGGTGCCTAGGTCTTATGAGTGTTCTCCCCTTTAGGATTTCCAACCAAAATGTAGTGTACATTTCTCATATTTCTTTGTGTTCTACGTGCCCTGTCCATCTCATCCTAATAAGTTGTGGTGAAGAGGCGTGTCATCAAGCTGCTCCTCGTCCTCGATCCTCCTGTCACTTCACTCTCATTTTCCTTGGAGTGGGTGAAAGAGAATAACCCAAGGCTTTTTAAGTTGGTGTGGATCTTGGGGGGAAATGGGATTTGAGGATGGTACTGGCTGTGCTGTAACAGTTGGTTTCGTTACAGATTAAACTGGGCGAGTTTTGTACCAGAGAATGGTATGCGGCGAATGTAGTTGTGCCCATCTCTCATCTCTGGCACTTCTGTTTGTGTTTGAACATACGACAGACTTTATTTAGCGTTGAATTTCCTCAGTGTAATTGTGTAGTGTTTAACGTGCTAGGATTTGATCCACATTTTCATAATTTACGACTTCATCTTGTGTAAAAATACTGTAAATTTCTTTTTAATTGCTTCATCAATTAAAGGTATGGACCCCTAAAATTTATACAACCCATTTTTCTTTTTATCAATTTCCCTGATCTTGCTTTATTGGTTTCCTTGATTCCTTACGAGAAATGCCAGAATTCCTCTCATTTACCTGCAGCGTTTTCTCAGTTCACAGGTTTTTGTGACGTGACACGTTCAGGTATTGTTGTGGTTTGTTATGACACGCCGTTTTCTGGTTTCGTTGTGACGAGAAGGACCCTGTCGTGGTGGATGCCTGGGTTCATGCATCAGTGTGTGGCAAGTTTAGGTTAGGTTATCCGAGAGGCCGGTCTCTCTTTCCTTGCTGATGGTGTGCTGGTTTGATTTGAGTGATTCATGTCGCTGTAACCACAGAGAGGACATCTTGCAGAGTCTGCAACATTCGTTTTAAGGAGACATCAGTTCAGCGCTTTACAAGGAAGCAGCGCGTGCTCGTCGTACGGCTGTCTCACAGTTTTGCCGCTTCGCTAATGAGGAACACGAGGTTTTGTTTCATTTTCAGGTGAAGACAGTGTGAGTCATACCGGTGGCGACGGGAGCAGATCGCTCGTTTTCGACTCGGCCGTACGCAGTGCCACTCTCTTGTTCAGGCATTGATGTGTCGTGGCTTTGTAGTGTATGAATGTGATGAGGTGAGTGTTCACTTGTTGTGAGTCTACTTTGCTCGTTACCTGGAATCAAAGAAGATTTTAAAGCAGTGTTAGCAGTTTTTCATCTGGTACTCCACTGTTATTCGGAGTTCAATTTGCTTGACGTCAAATTCAAAGGGGTGTTATAATGTGGCACCATACGTCTTTACCTTCGTCTGTTGTAGAAGTCATTTTAATTTGGATCAAAATTAAACTAACTGGTGAATTTTTAATGCAGACCTTTTTGCCTGATTTTGTAAAAATTTGTTCCTTGAGATGTACATTGTCTCGTGGGGGTTAAGAACGGCATTTGAACGTCATACTTGGTGGTATTACTAGGAATTCTTAGTCCAGAGGCCTTCGTGGCTTAGCAAAATGGTGGTGTTTCCCAGTCCACAAGCCCCCAAAGACCAATTGTGACTCCGATGCTAGGGGCATCAATGAAGGGTCTGATTATGGAACGTAGCTACTCGCCCACTAATTTCATATGTCTGATTAATATTTTCTAAATGCAAAGTGAACGCTATACACTAATGCACTAAACACTGTATGCAACAGAATAATTCAACTGGACTGGAACGTGATTTCCTATGTTGGACTGATTTCATTGGAAATGGAGGTGTTAGATTCCTGGAAGCCACGAACAGTTCGGCTGCTGCGTTTGTTAATTGGATTCCATTCTCATTAAGTCCGTGAGATGCAGGCAGTAAGCCAGGCACAATATAGCGCTGTGTGGACTTGAAGTTACCTGTTCTGTATTTTGTTACTTGGTGTACATTTCAGAGACTATTAATAAAACAGGCCGTTCTCTGAAAGGAGACATTATTCTGTACACAGGAGGTCTCAGGTTTGAACCCTCCCTTCCTCTTATGTCATCAAGTTCATCTCCTTTAATCGAGCGTACTCATTGGCTTCACCTTGTGTTTGAGGCTCAAGCAGTTACTTGTCTTGTGGTCTGTGGTTCGGTTCCAGGCCGCACGTTCATCTCTCCTGACTCCCTTTTGATTTTCCAATCCAGTGACATCCTGGGATCACTTCTTACTCCCCTTTTGTGATCCT